GAGCAGTTTGGCTGCTGCATAAATCAGTTTGCTCTGGAGCCCTCCTTCCTGAGCTAAGACAAAAATGTGTGAGCCGGAGGCTAAAAAACTGTGAGCTGGCTCACACTAACTCAGCTTAGAGGGAACACTGGCGTAGAGTGTCCCTCTCCGCCCCCGAACCAAAGCATGTTGTATTGACAGACCTCTGTTATTATGACCAGTGAGTCATTACCGGTTTTGCCTTTTCTCTTTCGCTCTCATCTACCCCCTTCTTGTTCTTTCTCTCCAGCGGGAGATGGTGTATTGCCTGGAGCACGGCCTGATCTACCGCTGCGCCAACCAGTGCGTCGTGGCGCTCTCTATCTGCAGCGTTGAGATGCCCGACATAATCATCAAGGCCCTGCCCGTTTTGATCGTCAAACTGACACACATTTCGGCGACGGCCAACATGGCCATTCCTCTCCTGGAATTCCTCTCGAGTAAGTGGTCTCCCTCTCTCTCTCTAAGCTGTGGAGTCTTGTGAGCAAAAATTCTACTTTGTGAGCTACTGGCATTAAAGTTGTGAGCGAGCGATTTGACTACTGCATAAATCAGTTTGCTCTGGAGCCCGCCTTCCTGAGCTAAGACAAGAATGTGTGAGCCGGAGGCTAAAAAAACTGTGAGTTAGCTCACACTAACTCAGCTTAGAGTGAACACTGGTGGTCTCCCTCTCTCTCTCTCTCTCTCGAGATGGCGAGGGGAAGGTTTGCTTCCTCTGCCCAAGGGTGAGAGCCGTTGGTGGAGGCCAGAGAACTATTTCAGGTGGAATGCTTAGGGGGATTTCTGTAGCCTCTTTTTGTCTTTGAACAAAGCCTCTTCCCCTTTCCGTGTTGCCGTCCGCTTTGGAAACATTCGTCTGTTTCAAATAAATTGTTTCCCATGCAACTGGGAAACAGAAGCCCAAATTCTCCTGGGGGGGGGAGGGGGAGGAGGAGGAGGAGGAGGAGAAGGAGAAGGAGAAGAAGAAGGGTTTTTTTGTATCCCACTTTTCTGTATCTTAAGGAGTCTTAAAGCAGCTTACAAACACGTTCTCTTCTTCTCCTCACAACAGGCACCTTGTAGGGCAGGTGGGGTTGAGAGAGTCCTGAGAGAGAACAGTGACTGGCCCAAGGTCACACAGCTGGCGTCCTGTGGAGGAATCATAAAATCATAGAGTTGGAAGGGACCTCCAGGGTCATCTAGTCCAACCCCCTGCACAATGCAGGAAATTCACAAATCCCCCCCCCACACACACACACATACCCCACTCTTCCATGCCCAGAAGATGGCAAAAAACCCTCCAGGACTACTGGCCAAACTGGCCTGGAGAAAAATTGTTTCCTGACCCCAAAGTGGTGATCAGCGTTTCCTGGGCGTGTAAGAAAGGACCACGAGAACGAAGCCCCGAGGCAACCCTTACGGCTCTCCCTTCTAGTGCTCTGCCTAAGTCCACAGAATCCGCATTGCCGTCAGATGGCCATCTAGCCTCTGTTTGGGAAGGAGTGGAGAATCCAACCTGTTTCTCCAGATTGAAGTCCGCCGCTCTTAACCACTACGCCATGCTGACTCTGCTTGAGCTAATTGTGTGGTTCTTTGGATCGAGTCGCATCCCTCCCATGAGAGGTAACCGCGTGGTGTGCTGGTGAGAATGTAGAAATAGAGCTGGTGAGATCTGGGTTCGAATTCCCACTTGGAGGGAAGGCAGGGTAAAAATGTGGTACAACTGGATCCACAGGCAAGATTAAGCTGTTTGGTGTAGTGGTTAGGAGCGCGGACACTAATCTCGGGGAACCGGGTTTGATTCTCCACTCCTCCATATGCAGCTGCTGGTGTGACCCTGGGTCAGTCACAAGTTCCCTCAGAGCTGTTCTCTCAGGAGCAGTCCTCGAGAGAGCTCTCTCAGCCCCTCACCTACCTCACAGGGTGTCTGTTGTGGGGGAGGGAAAGGAAAAGGAGATTGTCAGCCGCTCTGTGACTCCTTTGGGTGGTGAAGGGCAGGGTATAAAGCCAATCTCCTCCTCATCATCATCTTCTTCTCCCCCCCCCCATTCTGTTGGGGTGGATTTATTTATTGATTTCAAACACCTTTTCAACCCATTCCGGGTCCACAAGGCAGCAAACATGAAAACATTTAAACGATTAAAAATGGAGTTAAAATGATAAAATTCAATTAAAAGCGGTATCAAGACCATTATCGGTGGCACACCAGACGAAACAGAAGGGTGTTCATCTGCGGGCTAAAGACACCACAGGAAGAGGCAGACAAATCTGCCGGGGGGGGGGGGGGGGGGGAGGTACGCAGTGCCCCGTTTTCAGCACTCCTTCTAAAAACAAAACTAAGCAAAAATAGACAATGGAGTAAGACGCCCACGTGCAAAGCGGCCTGCGTAAACAGTGTCAATGGCAAGCCAAGGCTCACCGAATCTCTGCTCGTTTTCTCTTTCTCCTTGAAATCTTCCAGCCCTGGCCCGCCTCCCCCATCTCTACCGGAACTTCGCGGCCGAGCAGTACGCCAGCGTCTTCGCGATCTCCCTGCCCTACACGAACCCCTCCAAGTAAGTTGGGGCTCTGGCCGCTTTTCTGGGACTCTCTCGTTGGGGTCGGCGGAAGGTTGTCCCCGCCCCCTTGCCATCCCACCCCTTCCCCTCCCAAAAAACAGCACCCGTTAGAACCTCGAGAAGGAAAGGCTCGTCCCTTCGAGACCGGTGTCCCCAGACTCCCCACCCCACCCCTTTCACCTTTTAGCAGAAGCACAGGATGAGAGGAAGGGAGTCTAAAAGTGTCAGGAGGTGCTCTGGGAGCTGGCTTGCGCCGCGTGAGAAAGCGCTTCTCCCGGGAGGCCTCCGTCTATACCTTCCCACCACCACATTCTGCCCAGGACTTGCAGCCTGTGCAGCCAGCAGTTCCTTTTACCCTTCTAAGAACATAAGAACCCTTCTAAGAACATAAGAACATAAGAAATGCCAATGTTAGATCAGGCCAAAGGCCCATCCAGTCCAACACTCTGTGTCACACAGTGGGCAGAAATACCAGTGCCATCAGGAGGTCCACCAGTGGGGCCAGGACATCAGAAGCCCTCCCACTGTTGACCCTCCCAAGTGTTTTGTATTAGAATCATAGAGTTGGAAGGGGCCATACAGGCCATCTAGTCCAACGCCCTGCTCAATGCAGGATCAGCTTAGAGCATCCCTGGGAAACGTTAGTCCAGCCGCTGTTTGAAGACTGCCAGCGAGGGGGAGCTCACCACCTCCCCAGGCAGCCGACTCCACCGCTGGGCTACTCTCACTGTCAAAATATTTCCCCTACTATCCAGCCAGTACCTTCCTGCCTGTAATTTAAACCCATTCTTGCGAGTCCCGTCCCCTGCTGCCAACGGGAGCAGCGTTTGGGTGCCTTCGCTTACCTCCAGCTCTCTCTTTCTCCCCCCTTAACTCTTTTCTCCCCCCCCTCCCCAGGTTTAACCAGTCAATGTTGGATCAGGCCAAAGGCCCATCCAGTCCAACACTCTGTGTCACACAGTGGCCAGAAATACCAGTGCCATCAGGAGGTCCACCAGTGGGGCCAGGACATCAGAAGCCCTCCCACTGTTGACCCCCCCAAGTGTTTTGTATTAGAATAATAGAGTTGGAAGGGGCCATACGGGCCATCTAGTCCAATGCCTTGCTCAATGCAGGGTCAGCCTAGAGCATCCCTGGGAAACGTTCGTCCAGCCGCTGCTTGAAGACTGCCAGCGAGGGGGAGCTCGCCCCCTCCCCAGGCAGCCGATTCCACCGCTGGGCTACTCTCACTGTCAAAATATTTCCCCTACTATCCAGCCCTGGTACCTTCCTGCCTGTAATTTAAACCCATTCTTGTGAGTCCCGTCCCCTGCTGCCAACGGGAGCAGCGTTTGGGTGCCTTCGCTTACCTCCAGCTCTCTCTTTCTCCCCCCTTAACTCTTTTCTCCCCCCCCTCCCCAGGTTTAACCAGTACATTGTCTGCCTGGCACATCACGTGATAGCGGTGTGGTTTATCAAGTGCCGCCTTCCCTTTCGGAAAGACTTTGTGCCCTTCATCACTAAGGTAATTACGCCCGTGTGCCGGCAGCACAGAATCAGGCGGGCCGGGATGGATGGGAGCAAGCAGAAAGGGGGGGGGGGACTGGACCATCACGGCTGCAGCATCTCCCCAGAGACACTTTTCTTCTTCTGAAGAAGAAAAGATTGGATTTATACCCCACCCTTCACTACCCGAAGGAATCTCAGAGCGGCTTGTAATCTCTTTCCCCTTCCCTGTCACGGAAGTGCGCTCCTTGCATCCCCAGGTCACCGTTGGATTGTAGCAGTCCAATTGCACCCTGCTGAAGTCCCACTATAGTCACCACACAGACTCAGGTTTAGTGGTTAACTATATACAGTGCAGTTTATTGACAAGACACAGCTCTCACCGTCAAAGTGCTTCGCCAAGCAGTCGACATTCAAGTCAGCACACCAATGTACAGTGCATTCACAGTTCTATACACATAACGACCAATCATATCACTGCTGAGTCAGTCTGATAAGACATCAGCATTGCACCAGCCAGAACCGGTTTGTTCTGGTCTCCTGGACTGACAGTTACTTTGACACCTTTCACTTTAGATTGGCATGATCTATTTGCATTGTTACCCATGTATCAAACACGCTGAATACATATTCCAACATTCCCCTCCCCACAACAGACACCCTATGAAGTAGGTGGGGCTGAGCGAGCTCTTTCGAGGACTGCTCTTGAGAGAACAGCTCTGACAGAACTTGTGACTGACCCAAGGTCACACCAGCAGCTGCCTGCGGAGGAGTGGGGAATCGAGGCCGCTTCTCCCAGATTAGAGTCCGCGTTTCTAACCACTACACCAAACTGGCTCTGTGGGGAGGGGGGGAAGAGTGGGTTTTGGCCACCCCAGTGCAGTCCCCCAACTGGGAGTCTTCGGTGTAGGGGGAGGTTCATCACAGTTTCCCAAGTCCGACCCTTGGTGTAGCAAGGTCAACCTTGTCTCCTCTGAGTGGCAGCGGCTCTCCAAGGTCTCCGGCGGAGCCCAGGGTGGAACCAAAAAGTTGTGGGGGGGGGGGGGGTGGAAGAAAAACCTGGTATATGGAGGTATCGGTGTCAATTGCAAAAAAGCTACGATTGTATTAAATCACAAAAATGTTCCTCAAATTAGTTGCTGTAGATTTTCCGGGTTTTGTGGCCGTAGTTCATCAAATTGTAAATATTAAAAACTGTGCATCGAAACACATCAGTTCTGGTTATCATGTATATAAATCATTTCCCTAGTATATATATTTTAAAAAACCTTTTTAGTAAAATTGCACTTATGGACACGGCCAAAACGTGTTTGGTTTACATGTATTTTTATCTTCTTTATAGCTGTACCTGGCAATAGCGAAGATGGTTCTAAGGGTGTGACGGTGTTTACAGTTTGATTACAGCTTTTGTAGTTCTGTGACTTAATATAATTTTAGCTTTTTTGCAATTGATGTTGATATATCCATATAAGAGGGGTCAGGAAGCAATTTTTCTCCAGGCCAGTTTGGCTGGGGATCCCGGAGGGTTTTTTTTTGCCATCTTCTGGGCATGGAGCAGGGACTCACAAGGTGTGTGTGGAGGGGGAGGTATTTGTGAATTCCCTGCCTTGTTCAGGGGATTGGACTAGATGACCCTGGAGGTCCCTCCCAACTCTATGATTCTCTGATTCTTTTTATCCACCTTTTTGCTTACCTGGTTTGTTTTGGGTCAAAATCACACACACACACACCCTTTGGTTCATTTTCAAGTTACCTGTGACCAGGTCAGTGTTCCCTCTAAGTTGAGTTAGTGTGAGCTAGCTCACAGTTTTTTAGCCTCCGGCTCACACCTTTTTGTCTTGGCTCAGGAAGGCTGGCTCATTCATGCAAACTCATTCATGCAGTAGTCAAATTACCTGCTCACAACTGTAATGCCAGGAACTCACAAAGTAGCATTTTTGCTCACAAGACTCCATAGCTTAGAGGGAACATTGGACCAGGTACTTGTAACAGAAGGTGTCTGGAACTGAACCCGATACCTTCTGCTCATGAAGCCACAGAGACCACACCTCACATTTCTCAGTGTGGCAGATTGCTTGGACGGCTCGCTTGTTTTTTCCTCGTCTGGCCTCCGTGAGAACCGGGCAGCCTCAGCTTATGCTAAATCTCAGAGGAGGAGTTTGCCTGGGAACCAAGAGGGGGTTCCCCGTCCCGTCAGCTTTCTTGGTTCCTCTCTCTGGCAGGGCTTGCGATCCAACGTCCTCCTCTCCTTCGACGATACCCCGGAGAAGGACAGCTTCCGGGCCCGGAGCACGAGTCTGAACGAAAGACCCAAGAGGTAAGGTAACCCCTCCTTAACGCGGAAGAAAAGGTTTCTTTTGACAGCGTCTTTGAAGCAATTTTATAATGTGATAGATTTCCCCTGTTCCCCGTCCCGTCAGCTTTCTTGGTTCCCCTCTCTGGCAGGGCTTGCGGTCCAACGTCCTCCTCTCCTTCGACGACACCCCAGAGAAGGACAGCTTCCGAGCCCGGAGCACGAGTCTGAACGAAAGACCCAAGAGGTAAGGTAACCCCTCCTTAACGCGGAGGAGAAGGTTTCTTTTGACAGCTTCTTTGAAGCAGTCAATATAATGCTTCTTTGAAGCAATTTTATAATGTGATCGATTTCCCCCAAGGCCTTTTTTGTCCTCTGGAGGCTGATGGTCGTTCTAATGCGGCGGCCGCAGTTTCGCTTTGGAGGTTACCCTGAAAGGTCCTGTATCAATGAAGCGGCCTGGCCAGAAAAGAACACTCGATAACATTAACATTGCTCTCTTTTTTCCGGACAACCGCAGATTGGCCCGATGGACCGATCGCTGATTCCAGTTAAGAGTCTTTTTTGGCCCCTTCTCGCGTCCTGAAACGGCTGCGCGTTCAGGGATCCATTAGCGCACCTTTCTGCCTCCTCTGTGACTTTTAAACGTTACCTTCCATTTTCCACACACAACTAGGAACTCCTTTGCTCCGAGCTGTTGGGGAGGGGAGGGAGGTAACGAAGCAGGACCCTGGCAGCGGTTTATAAGTTTGTTCACGGATTGCTGAGAGTTGACCGAACAGTGTTCAAGGAGCTTCGCCTCAGCTGGCTTCTTTTAACTGCCAGCCTGCCGTGCTTTGGCTGCAGTTAACGTCACTCGCGGGAGCGCTTTCGTGTGTGAGGGGGTTGTGTGCCTGTGTGACCTTGTGTTCCCTTCTCCAAAGTCTGCGGTTGCATCCTACGGTTTTTTCCCCAAGCCAATGCGACGCTCTAGTTGGAAGGTTTAAGTTTGGACATCAGGTTTCGCGGGAGCGCTTTCGTGTGTGAGGGGGGCTGTGTGCCTGTGTGACCTTGTGTTCCCTTCTCCGAAGCCTGCGGTTGCGTCCTCTGGTTTTTTCCCCAAGCCAATGCGACGCTGTAGTTGGAAGGTTTAAGTTTGGACACCAGGTACTAACCTCGGCTTGGCTGCGGGTCACGGTGAGCAGGGCTATTTTGGGGCAGGAACAGAGTTCCGGCTGGCTCCCGAGTTGGCCACACCCAACAGGAACTCATTAGCATAATAGGCCACACCCAACAGCAGAAACTCATTAGGATTGGCTACATTTGGGGTGTGTGGCCTAACATGCAAAGGAGTTCATGCTACAAGAAAGGCCCTGGGTTTTGACAACAAACAAGGTAAACAGAATAAGAAGCAAACAGTGGGTGTGGCTGGATGACCACACTTCTGCGAACATGGGGTGTGTGGCCTAATATGCTAATGAGCTGTGCTGTCAGGGGTGTGTCCTAATAAGCAAATGAATTTCTGCTGTTGGGTGTGGCCTATTATGCTAATGAGTTCCGGCTGGGCTTTTTCTACAAAAAAACCCTGGCGCTGAGAGACGGCCAAGGGACTTGCCTTCTCAACGAGGCCTGCTCCTCCCGAGCGTTTTGCCCCAAAGCCCTCCCAAGAGTGGGTCCCCGGCCCCTTAGGCAGAGGCGGCCTCACCTGGCCCCGCCAGGATCCCAAAGGGGTACAGCTCCCTTTAATGCCGCACTGTGAACGTTTTTTTCTGTCTGCAAGTTCTCTAGACTTCCCTAACCCATCCATTTCTCAAAAACCGGATCATCCACTTTGTCCCCCCCCCAATCAGCTGTCTGATACGCACCATTTTCTCCTTGTGTGTTTTTTCTCCCATTATCACCCTTCTTAATTTTTAACACTGCAGTTGGAATACGGCCGATTCTCCAAAGCCGTTCTGTTGGCTGATTTCAAAAACAGCACCGCAAATACTCTTGGTTTTTTTGTTTTTGTTTTAAGTCGTCCTAACGGCAGACCCGAATAGTTAAGAAAACGTGAAAAGGAAGCCGAAAAACACATACGGGACTAATGCTCCCTCTAAGCCGGGGGTCCTTGTGAGCAAAAATTCTACTTTGTGAGCTACCGGCATTAAAGTTGTGAGCGAGCGATTTGGCTGCTGCGTAAATCAGTTTGCTCTGGAGCCCTCCTTCCCGAGCGAAGACAAAAATGTGTGAGCCGGAGGCTAAAAGACTATGAGCTAGCTCACACTAACTCAACTTAGAGGGAACACCGCACTGGACCGCCAGAACAGGGCTGGACGCAGATGCTTCCTTTGGGAACCTGCTTGTCATCAAGGCTCCGGCCTGAAATGTAGGCGTGTGTGTTTAACTGCCTGCACCTTGGCCCGCTTTCAGCAAGGCACCATGGGGCTGAATCCCACCTGTACATTCCTCTAAAGACAGTGCCTCTCGCTGACGTCTCCTTGCACTGGAGGAAATTGGACTGGATCTGCAGGCCTGTTCCCTCCCAGCCCCTCATGTCAGTTTGCTTGGTGTCATGGTTAAGAGCGGCGGACTCTAATCTGGAGAACCGGGTTTGATTCCCCACTCCCTCCTCCGCATGCAGCCAGCTGGGTGACCTTGGGTCAGTCACAGGTTCTCTCAGAGCTGTTCTCTCAAGAGCAGTTTCTCTCAGAGCTCTCTCAGCCCCACCTACAGGGTGTCTGTTGTGAGGAGGGGAAGGGAAGGAAATGGTAAGCCGCTCTGAGACTCCTTCGAGTAGTGAAGTGTGGGATATAAATCCAATCTCCTCCTCCTCCTCCTCCTCCTTCTCCTCCTCCCTCCCCCAGCAGGGGACAGGATTCTCCACCTACCCTGTTGCTTAACCTTCCTGGAGGCCCCCCTTGCTAGCAAATGTTTTTGGCTGGGGTATTTTCATTAGCTGGAGCCGTGGGTTCCCATCAGCACCTCAGGTAACCTACGACTTGTTTTCAAAATCTACTTCCAAAATTGATGCTGGGCTATCAAACCGGAGTCTTCAGACTCTCACAACTGAATTGGGGGTTGGGATTTCCCCCACCGCCACTGGATGAGTGGCGCAAAGTTGTGCCTCTGAGCGTATGCAGAGTGCCCCAACTCCCCCGATTAACAGCCGTGGTGTTCTGTTTTCTCGGCTCGTGAGGCGGTCGTATTCCAACTCCACCCTCTCAATCGGTTTTGAACTTGCTTGCTGATTTCTCTGGGGGGGGTTGGTTGTGTGTAGTGTTCCTTAATCTCTAAAAGGGGAGGGGAGGTGTGTCGTCTTCCTGTTGTGGTGCTTGTGTTTTTTTGTTCCCGAAATGTTTTTGTGGTTTTTTTATTGCTTTCAAGTTTTGCTTATTGTTATTTTTTTTAATTCCCCCCTCCCCTTCCTTCCTTCCTTTCTTTTTCTTTTTTTTTTTGCATTTCTTTTTTTGTTTTCACTTCACCTTCCGGGACTTTTCTGGCCTCCCGTCCTTCCATCCTTCCAATGATTTCCTCCCTGTGCCAATCACGCCCTCTTTGTCTGGGGGGTTCTCGGTGCTGCCGCCGCTGCTTCTTCACCCCTTAGTAGTTTTAAAATAGCCAAAAATGCCCGTCCGGGTTTGAATAGCTCCCCGCCAGTGAAAGAGACGAAAGACTCCTCCGCGGCCGATGCCTTCCGTTCCCGCAGCATCAGTGTGTCTGACCAAGCAGCCCGCAGGTAGAGACGCTTGGAAAAGGGTGGTCCAAGAGCCGGGGGGGGGACAGGGGAGGCG